GCCACTTCGAGTCCCATCTGGGAAAACTGCAAGCCGACTCCAACTACCTGCTGTCGGAGGAGTTTGAGGTGGGTTTGGACCTTCAAAGACGTGGAGCGTGAGTCGTCTGAGAGGGGGTGCTGATGCTTTCTGTGTGTGCAGGACCTGAAGGACGTGGGCCGAAACCAGACCATGGACACGGCCAGACTGCCCGAGAACCGAGGAAAGAACCGATACAACAACATCCTGCCATGTGAGTGGGGACAGAAACAGCACATTTAGGGGGTCAGAGTCTAGATCAGATCTATCTAGGCCTCTCTTAAAGAGGAAAGTCAAGCATTAGGCCCCTCTTACTGCTTTTAATTTCCTTAAAATTATCACACTTGGCAGCACGGTGGTTAGCACTGTCGCTTCACAGCCAGAGGGTTCTGGGTTGGAGTCCCGGGGGAACCGGGACCTTTCTTGGTGGAGTCTGCATGTTCTCCTGTGTCTGTGGGTTCTCTCCGGGTTCTCCGGCTTCCTCCCACCCTCCAAAAACCTGCATGTTAGGTTGTTGGACTCCAAACTGCCCTTAGTGTGATTGTGTGTGGTTGTTGGTCCTTGTGTGTCTTATCATAATGGATGGATGATCCCACTTGTTACCATTAGAGTGGCTCACATGTGTTTCTGTCTCCAGATGATTCCACCAGAGTGAAGCTGTCCTACCTGGAGGATGATCCCTGCTCAGACTACATCAACGCCAGCTACATACCTGTACGTGTACACTCACATCTGCAGGGAGACGCACACCGCTGCCCCTCGCTGAGCCTCTGTTTTTCCTCAGGGGAACAACTACCGGCGGGAGTACATCGCCACCCAGGGCCCGCTCCCCGGGACCAAGGACGACTTCTGGAGGATGGTGTGGGAGCACAGCGTCTACAACGTCGTCATGGTGACGCAGTGTGTGGAGAAAGGACGGGTAAGGCTCTGAAAGACCAGCCCACAGAGGGGTCCACCCACAGATGGGTCCACCCATAGATGGGTCCACCCATAGATGGGTCCACCCACAGATGGGTCCCCATAGATGGGTCCACCCACAGATGGGTCCACCCACAGATGGGTCCATCCCCACAGATGGGTCCATCCCCAGAGATGGGTCCACCCACAGATGGGTCCACCCACAGATGGGTCCCCATAGATGGGTCCACCCATAGATGGGTCCACCCACAGATGGGGTCCACCCACAGATGGGGTCCAC